GGCCGAGATTGGGGGGGCAAGGCGGGCGACAGAAGGCCGATGCCTCCGTCGCCCGGCCCTCTACAGAATCCACCCCCCAAACCTCCAGGTATTTCCCTCCTTAGAGCTGGCAACCCTACATTCCCCTCAGTGCCTGTTGGTAGGCAACTAAGCTTGGTCCTGTCACCTACTTTGGCCTTTGGGAGAAAACACATTGGGGCCAGTCCTGATAGGGTTGCCAACTCCAGATGGAAATTCCTGGAGGTTTGAGGGATGGAGCCTGAAGAGGGTGAGGTTTGAGGAGGGGTGGGACCTCAGACAGGTACACTGCCATAGACTCCACCCTCCAAACCAGTCAGTCCCACATAGGGAACCATTGTTGCCAATCTCCAGGTGAGGGCTGGAGAGCACTCAGTATTACAACTGCTCTGCAGAAGGGAGGGCAGAAGTCAGCTGAAGTCAAAGGGGCAGATAATGGTAGGTTGATGGCTAGCTGGGAAGGAGATGGGGTTGCCAACTACATGCTGACAAATTCCTGGGGATTTGAGGGGTGGAGCCTGGAGAGGGTGGGGTTTGCAAAGGGGTGGGACCTCACAGGTAGAATGCCATAGACTCCACCCTCCAAACCAGTCATTTTGTCCTGGGTAACAATTGCTGCCAATCTCCAGGTGAGGGCTACAGATCACTCACAATTACAACTGCTCTTCAGGTAGCAGAGATCAGTTCCTCTGGAGAAAACAGTGGACTCTGTCATTATACCCTGCTGAGGTCACCACAGCAAATTGACACTGTTTGCCCAAAGCCAAAGCACTGCCCCAGAGCCTCTTTCTAGATCCCGTTGTATTGCTTTCACAACGGGCTTTACTGCTAGTTGTAATATATTCTTACATCCACTTTATTAATGTGTTTTATTCTGCTGGTCCATGATCGTAATAAATTATTGATTTCTATTGATTGAATAGCTGGAATAGCTTCCCGAGAAGTCCTAAAGAGGATCACCACAAGATGACGAAAGAGAAATATGATAATTTTAACATCACAGTGAGTTTAAACCTATGAAGAGAAGAATCTATTTGTATTTCTTTTGTTAGTAGTAGTTAGACAATTTTGTTCAAATTCTTTATTTTTGTTAACAATAACTCTGATGTCAAGTCATTTGTCTGGGTGTTTTTTACAGTTTGGTATTATAGGGTCTGACTGCACCCACATAAAACCTTAATACTCTATGTTTACCATGGTACACTGAGAAAGTGGGCTTACTCCTACTTAGGTTTGAATTACTTTGGCATTCCCTTTTGTTCAGGGTCATTTGGAGTAGCAGCAAGGAAAGCCTTTGGTTCTCAGTTTGTTGTGGGAGACCAATAAAGAGCCTAGAGGGCCAAACACAAAACTGGAATATCTGTAACACCCACACTTTATTGACCGAGGTTCAAAAGTGGCCTTGCCACCAAAGCCATCTGATGCTATCTGCCCATCTGAGCTCTGGAGGGGGCAGTGGTGGGTCTATGCATCACCGCCAAGCCAGGCAGCTGCCACCAGCCTGCTCATGCTCTGGAGAGTTTTCTTCCCCCTGTTTCAGGCAGAACTGTGGGCTGTTGGGAGCCCACCCAGCCTGAGGCAGCTGCCATGGATGTGCTGTAGGTAAGACCACCTTTGGGAGAAGGAGATGGAATAAATTTGGAGAGGTTTATTCCTTATTACAGCCTAGGGCTTTGAGACCTGAGCTGACTGGTTAAATCTATAATTTCTACGCTAGAACAAAATGCCTATGGGGCCTGTTTTGTCTCATATACTGTCTTACTTTACTCTGCAATCTCTAATCCAGGGGCAGCCAAACTTGCTTAATGTAAGAGCCACACAAAATAAACGGCAGATGTTTGAGAACTACAAGACATGAACAAATATTACGCACACATTTTTATAGAAAAATATGTGAATTTGCTTTTTATTAACATTAAGTTAGACTGTGTGAAAGAGCTGCATGTGGCTCCCGAGCGGCAGTTTGGCCACCCCTGCTCTAACCAATCTGGAAAGAATAATTTGAATGTCACCCTAGCAAAACTGTCCACCATAGAGTTTTGAACAGGCTTATTTCTGCATTTCAAAGTCTTGTGATAAATAAATGGCTCACTAGCAAAACCTGACCCTGTGTGTCCATCATTAAACAATGTCTTGGGTGGTTCTAGATTTTTATTTCTTTAAACTCTTAGGTCTAATTGAGCTGCAAATGAAGCTGAGTGGAACAGAATAAAATCTAAAAAGAACTCTGTATCAAGTAGAACATCTTTGTCCATCTGGAATTCCTTTTCTTTGACACTCACTTTGGCAATTCCAGTACTGTTTTTCAAACTGCTCTGTCAGTGCTTGCCCTTTTCACTTTGCTAGAGCTTGTGCTGATCTACAGCTTTGAGGACTGGACTGGTTGTGTGTGTATTTTAGCCTGTGGAAATTTACTTGGGTCATAAGGTTAGGCATTGTGTACTGAGAGCAACGTATGGTTAAGGTTATGCTGCCAGATGGTCACAGTTTTTGATCTCCAATTGTGACATATTTTAATGAACATTAAATTTGTAGACACTGTGTGAATCAGCAGGGACATTTAGCAGCAATTTTAAACCAGCTGTCAGGTACCCGTTAATTAGTTTGAACAATCAAATGGCAAGAACTTTAAAATACATAATGTTTCTACTTTATTCACAGTTAAATTGATATTTTAAACTCTGGTTATGTGAGAATTACTGAAGCAACTTACGGTAATAATTATAAACACTTTTTATAGATTTAAGATACCTCAGTGGCAAGGCGTATATTTTGCATTCAAAAAGTGCCAGGTTCAAGCAATTCCTAAACTCTGTAGCTAAAAATGTATTTAATTTCAAGGCTACAATGATAATATGTCCACAATATAGAGCATAGATATTTAAAATGATGCTAAGTAGAAGACATTTTCTACTTAGTACTGTCTGTTGAAAATAACTTTTCTTCAGCCTTGTCAGCCCTCGACGTGAAGCTGTTATGAAATTCAAGCCATTTCCTTAAAAGCAGCAAACTGTGTTTCATGACATATATCATTAGGAAAGGCCACAGCACTGTCTGTTTCTCTCTCAACAGATCTGAGCTGGTTTTGCTCAGGGTTACATTTTCATTTGTCCATTTTGTTGCAGTTATTATAATTAAGAAATTATTACCAAAGTTGATTTTTGTTTTTAAAACAGCAAGACATAGATATTGGGGAGATAATTTGATTGCTACTGCTCTTCAAGTAAGCATTGTAACCAGTGAGGCAGAGAGTAAAAAGTATTGCTTTAGATTCATCTGACCCTAGGGTTGTCTAATTTTAGCCTAAGAATTACTTGAAGTTGGCCAATATTCACAACAATGTTTTTCATTTAGAGAGATTCTACAGTCTTTACCCAATGTCAATTTTAGAAGAAACATAGTTGTTGCAGGCTACTGGAGCAGAAGTATTTGACGTGCATTATTTTTGTGACAGTGCCACAATTACAAGCAGGGTAGAACTGTGTGGTGAATGAAGGAATAGAGGATGGGGTAAGCTGGACAGCCATTTCAATGAATCAGTCAGCAAAATACACTAAAAACTCTGTAAAGATGAAACAACCCCCCACCCCCCAAAAAACATTTCCCATTACTTAACATACCACTGTAATTAAATTTTCCAAATATGTCCTATTGCTCCCTTTTATTCGTGTTGGTTGAAATTTAACCTCAGAAACCAATAATACAATAATCAACTGAGTTATTGATATCCTAGTGAGCCGCATGACAAAACTGGAAAAATGAAAATGCTTATAGTATAATAGTGAAGTCTTGAAGAGAAATGTATTTATTCTGGCATACATTTCCAGAGAGATAAAAATAAGGCCAAGGTCAATGGTGCAAGTAAAGGAAAATATATATTATATTACTCAGCTAAAATTCCCTATGGGTTTCACCAACAGGCTTCTTCAGGTAAATCTGCAATATAATATACAAGTACAAGTATATTGTAATTTTATTTTGATTTTTGAAACTGTTTAAAATCTATTTATAGAATTTGAAGTAAATAACAATTGTTATACAACTATGAGAACTCAGTATTGTATTTGTATATTATAGTTAAGATTCCCTTGAAGAAGACTCTTGAGAAAATGCACAGGGAATTTTTAGCTGAGTAATAAAAAAAAAATCTTTTACTTGCACCATTGGCCTTGGCCTTACTTGTATCTCTCAGTGACTGGTGCAGCCCTTTTAATTTCTCCATACATTTTCTGAGACAGAGTCCAGTGAAGTGGCAGAAATTTTATGTGACTACCAGCCTGGTATAATAATTACTAGCAGCCTTACTCACTGGGTAAATTTCCATCACCATCAGAAGTATAATAACTATGACACTTCTTGTAAGAGTTAGTGAGATCACGTTGTTGAAGTATACTAAACACTTAAAATAGACTGATGTATCTAATGAATCATTAATTATACAGAACAAGCCTTCCCTTCCAATACATCTCACTGACCACCACTGCCCAGGGCTGTCATTGGGCTCAAACTATGCCCCTGCTGTAACACAGATGCCCACCCCACAGCTGGGAGACCCAAGCCCAACATCAGGACCACTCATCTGTTATGTGGGGTTGGAGGGAACTTGTTGCGTTGTGCAGAGGGTTGGACTAGATAACCCATGAAGTCCCTTCTGTGTTTCTATAAATGGCATTTTATTGCTTTTATTCTTTATATCTTGTTACAGAACCCTACCTCGTTTGTATTTACAAGACAGTGTTCACCAGTGGCATGTATGACAACATCACCATGCCAGTGATTAGCTGGAATTTTTTTAGCAGAATTTCAGGGGGGAAAAGCAATGTAAACAACGTACAGCCAACTTTTGTAGATTTTCCAGCATTTCATTCTGATCTTTGAAATCGGTGGTATGAATATTGTTCACAGCATCCTCCTTCTCAACCAGCCATGCATCAAAGAGACCCTAAAAACAGGAAAAGCCTTTATGAATACCAAACACAAAGTACGGTGAGCAAACAATAAATTGTTACCTACCAGTGATGCTCACCTGCTCTTCAGTGAATTGTTGCCATTTTCGAAGTATGTCTTGTAGAAGAAACCAACGTTCCTCTGTCCATCTACAAATGGCTGCCCATCGGTCCCCTAAGTGCTAATAAAATGGCCAAAACTTAGTAAGCATGTTTTAATATTGACTTATATCTACATTATTTTTCATTTGGTACTGAAAATAAGCTGTTAACCTTACCTTTTATATTATAATGATTAATTTAAGATTATAAATATTTGCAAGTTTTATCTGAACTAGTTACCTTTATAGTTAAAGGAGTACAGCAGTCAATTGAATTGTAAGCATGAAGCAATAAGATTATAAAGAGCAGCAATTTTAATACCAAAGGTGCAGATAGTACTGTGTGACATCTATTTCCATGTCCATAAAAATGTGATGGTTCATAAGCTCTATAATACTGAGAACCATATGTAGCAAGGCAGGAGTTATAACTATTACCTTCCAGCCAACTAAATACAGCTGTCTTAGATGTTTACCTTTTAAAATAACCCTCTTTAAATATATGCTATAACTGATGTTTAAATTAATACAATAAACAATTGTTTGGTGAGGCACCACCAAACAATTAAGCCAATTTTCTTAAATTTACAATATACTTAACTAGGGAGTTATGGAAATAATGAAGCCTGATTTACACAGGAGGAAGTTTCCCTGCTACCAGAAATCTCAGTCCTTATGGTAAATGTTGCTTCTAGCACATGCCAGGGTCATCTGAATAGCCCTGTATTGGCCGTCTCCCTGTAGAGAAATCCACCCACCCTCTTCACTAGGGATGGGCATGAACAACAAAAATGTGGTTCATCGTGGCTCATGGGTGAACTATGAACCGAATCACAAATCCCACAAACCCAGTCAGCTTGCATATGACCTGAACTGGATCTGTGAGGTTCGTATCCAGCTGAGTTGTGGGGGCAGCCTACTCCCATGGCTCAGTCTTTTCAGGCTCTAAACAGCTGGGTCATGTGAGCAGGCTGCCCCTGCAGCTCAGCTATTTCAGATCTAAACAGCTGAGCCACAGGAGTAGGCTGCCCCTGCAGCTCAGCTGTTTTGGGCATGAACCTCACAAACAATTTAGATCAGAAACAGCTGAGCCATGGGAAAGTCTTTTCCTGCAGCTCAGCTGTTTAAAGTGGCTGGCTGCCCAAGAAAGTCCCTTTAAACAGTTGAGCCACACAAAGCAAACTTTTTTCAGTAAGCAGAAAGCAGTGGTTTAAACAGCTCCCAGCTGTTTTTTGTGAAGAGCAGAAAGCTTTCTTCATGAACCACCACAAACAGAATCAAAATTTATGAAAGTTTGTGGCAGTTCTTCAGTGTGCAAACATTGCTTCATGAAACACAAACTGGTTAAAATTTGTCACAAACTTTAGTTCGTCAGCCAGTTCATACCCATCCCTACTCTTTCCTCCCACCCAACCTATTCTGAACAAGAATTTTTACAATGCAGGTAGATTTTTATAAACTTTTATGTCATTTCACCACTTCTACTCCCCCCCCCCCATTTTCCTGCCCCACTTGGGTAATTTCATTTAATTTCTTCTTTCTAACGTTGCCTAGATAATGCTAGCTAAACTGATGATGATTGAGGTATTTGGAATTGGTTGACGTTTTTTTTAAAAAAATATTGGAGAAAATTGAAATAGATGAAAACAGTATCTCACTTCACTGTACACTAGGTGAAGCAATTGATAGATTAATTCAGTAGGCCATATAGGATATCACCCCTTCTGCCATTGCCTCCTCCCCAAGTAAGGTACCTTGGGCAATTCTCCAGGCTGTCCCAGGGTTCCAACAATAAGAAGAGAGTGGGAACAAAGCTCTACAGCTGACAATATAACATTCCACACTCTTAAGAAGGTTTCTGACCCTATTGAGTCTCTTTTTAGGTTTCTCCTGTATAAAATGGCTAGTTCACACATGAGTGTACCTTTTGTTAATGACTTTCATATGTGATTGTGGATCACTGAAGGTTTAACACCACAGGGAAACATTTTTTTTGTCCTATTATATGACAAACTTATTTTTGCCATTGAGTCCATTCATCAATTAGTCATCCACTGTATAAGAACCAAATGATATATAGGCAATTGTGAAATGTCCTTAAATCTTCACTTTGCAGTCAGTGCTTAACAGCGATCACAAAAACACCACATCAAATTTTGTATATCAGCCTAATACATTTCAGTGTTATGACGGGCTTCAGGTTTTATTCATATTGTTCTGTTAGGGCTTCTCAAATTAATTTATTTCCCCTTATTTTTGTAATGCAGCATTTATCCCCATCTAAAAAAGGTTTTTATACTCAAGGCAGTTCCACTTTCTAAAGGGAAAAATTCTTTGTTCTTAGTATTTTTAATAAGAGCTCTGCCTTCCTACCTACAATGCCTATGATCTATCTTTAGCACTGTTCTTCCTTAATCTAGCAGCCAGCACCAAGTCAAGGTCTCTCTGACTTGCTCTTGCTTTGATAAGTTATTCACCAATTTGCATGCTGGAAGAGGTTTTAGATGCTAACCAAAATCAAAACAAGATGAAAAGCCTATCTGAAAATTAACAGGGCTTCAAAGAGAAGCAAGAATCAAACTGTTTTATGAATCCATATCTTAACAGACAAGATACAACTGTTGAAGCAAGTAGAATGATCGAATAACTGCTTTGACAGCAATTTGTATTTTTGTACACTACAGAATATCTCCTGAAAAAGATCCATTTTTTAAACATTGTTATATAATCCGGAGACGACGTTGATTATGTACCTTGGTTCAAGGATTTTCTTATGATTTGTTTATCATGTTGTAGTGCTTCAGATTGTAATACATAGAGAGCATTCTTTATAAGTCTTAATGACTGTTATCCTATTCACCACATGCTCGACTGGAATTATCCAGGAAGCACTGGTCTCCTTCTCAAATGGTTTCATTTGCACCCATCATGTAGTTAAATGTGACTGGTAACATGCCATTGTTATGATATTCTATTTGCTATGCAATTCTGAACTGGCTTTTCCAGGAAGAAAACACAGCAATTCTAAAACAAAAAATGCTGAAGTTGATAGAGAAAACAATGGCAATGGACATGAGTAAGGGACAGTTTAATTTCTCTGGCAAATATTTGGCAAAACCTTTGACCAAAACTGAAACAGTATCACATTGGTTGCAGCCCTAGTAAAATATTAAGTATGTTTCTCCAAAACCATATATTTAGAAATACCATGGAAGGCTCAATTGTCATGGAGCCGTCCATTCTGAAAATATTCTCAAAATTGTCCAAATATCTATCATGACGCAGAGAAAGTAACAAAGTAGCAAAGTTGTACTGCATCTATTTGATCATAAAATTCCCAAGGCCACTAAAAAGAACCCTTTCAGTTCTTTGTCTGTTGGCTGCATGTGGGTTGAACAGTGAGGAAGAACAGCAACAACTATTTATTTATTCATTCATGAAATTTATATCCCGCCTTTCTGCCCTTACAAGGGCTGCCAAGGCAGCTAGCAATCTAAAATATGCATGATAAAATACATTATAAAACCATTAAAATAAATTTCTCTCCTTGAAATACCTCATAAAACAAACTTTAAAAAGAGTTTAAAAATAGAACTAAAATACATACAAAACATAAAAGATTGGTTAGGAAGGAGGGATCATTGAGGGAATGCCAAATGAAACAAATAAGTTTTCACCCACTGGTGGAAGACAACAATGGAAGAGGATAGATGAATTTCCCTGGAGAGAAAGTTCCAGAGCTTTGGTGCCATGACTGAGAAGGCCCTCTCCTGGGTTGCCACCAATGCTCCCTCTAAGCTGTGGAGTCTTGTGAGCAAAAATTCTACTTTGTGCACTACTGGCATTAAAGTTGTGAGCAAGCAGTTTGGCTACTGCGTAAATTAGTTTGCTCTGGAGCCATCCTTCCTGAGCTAAGACAAAAATCTGTGAGCTGGAGGCTAAAAACTATGAGCTAGCTCACACTAACTTAGCTAAGAGGGAACACTGGTTGCCACCCACCTAATTTCAGAGGGCAGGGTCTCTGAGGATGACCTGAGTATCATATACATATTGGTGACAACCCAGTTCAAATTTCCTGATGACTTCACCCAGAAGTTTTATGTAGATGTTAGACAGCATAGGGGACAGGATGGAATGTTGTGGGAACCCATAGTCAAAGACCAAGGGGGTGAACAGCAGTCCCCAAACTTTTGAAACCTACCCTCCAAGCAGGACCAGAAACACCACAGAATGATGCCTCCCAATCCCAGTCCAGATAGGTGGTCCAGAAGGATACCATGATCAATGCTACTGAAAACTGTTGAGAAAGGTTGTCCAGAAGAATCAACAGAGTCAGCCTGCTGAAATTGCTGCTCGACAGGGAGCTGTTATAACAGTGCTGGCAAGAAGCAGGTGAGAAATGCGGCCATCGTAGCACTGAGTGGACTGGCAAAATCACTAGTGAATGGTGAGGACTGGCTTCAAGGAGAAAGCTGGAAATCTAGACAGCTACTGCTTTCCCCTCCCCCTAGTTGCCAAGAGGAAGAAGGGTCTGGTAAATGACTAGATTAGGCAGTGAGATACAGGGAGATGGTAGGCAAGCAGATCCGTGGAAGCAATTAGGACCATCAGCAATTATGCATTCTACATTCAGTCATATGAGAGCTCCACTGTTTAAGTCATCTTTCAGATGCTTTTAATAATCCCCAAGCACAGAAGGAAGCTACTTGGGAAAATAATCCAGTCAACAAGCTACTTGCTAGTTTCCTGCTGTAGAGACAGACAACAGCAACTTCCTTTGCCTTGTGTCAAGACATATGTTATTTAAAATGTTTAATGGAAGTCTTGTTATATGGTGCCAAACATCAAATCAAGAGATAAAACTATGTCAATAGCAGTAATTCCTAAAATGTACTTTTTTCACTGCAAAGATACCAGTGGAATAGTTACCTGAAGTTGTTGTTCTAAGGCAGCTGTAGCTTTGTCTCCACTAGCTTCATCCACTACAACAACCATATGAGTGAGAGAATTAACCTTGACTTGTTCCTGTTCTAAGTCTTCCTGAAGAGTCTAAAATAAAGAAGAAGAAAAAACACATATCAACTTATAATTAAAGACCTAGGCAGAATTTTGCCTCATGATGTACCAAGCTGTACTAGAACATCTTCCAAAAAAAGAGAAGAATCTATTGTGAGCAGAGGTAGCAGAAATGAGAATGTGTCAAATTCAATCAAAATTGTGCTTAAGTCAAAACAAAAATTTCAAATACACTGCTCAGGATACATACATTTTTGCTTTGTGAAGGTTTCTTTTGTATGGCAAGTCCATATTTCCCCCACATCTGTTTTTAAAATGTCTCCTATTTAGACTTCTTTTACAGCTGTTTTGACAATTGATTGACTGCTATCTAAGTTTTGCTTCTATATTTGTTTCTAAGATGTGAATGTGAGGGGGAAGTTGCCTGCTTTTTATGTAAAGCACATTAACTCTAAAATTTATCTTGGCTCCGGTCACACGGGCCGGAAAATGCGGGGGGGAAGCGTGGCTGTTTGCCCCGGGCTAAATAACTGCGCGATTGCACGATCCGACGTCCCGTGTAACTCCCGTGGAGGTCCGAAGGTTAGGGGGGAGGTGCCGATCACACCACAGGCAACGAAGCAGGGCGGCGCGGCAAACGGGGTTGTATTTGTTTTGTTTAACCTGAAGTGTGTGCATGCTCCGTTGGGTGCTTGTGCGCATCCAGTGGAGACTTGGAAAAAAAAACCCTTTTGCACTCCTCAGTTTCTGTTTCAGGTGGGTCTTCCGAGGGTCAAATGACACAGCCCCTGTCCCCCTATAGCCGCCCTTCCCCACTCCCTCAGCTGTTCCTTCAGCCCCCTGCCCCCAAACCTCCCCTCAACCCCCCACTCCTCCCCCTTCCTTGATCTGCTCCGTCCTTCTGTCCTTCTCCCCTGACCCAAATCTCACTCCCAGCCCCCCCCTTTCCTACATGTGCCACTGCAAAGGGAAGCCGCTTGAACAGCCTCCAGTCTCCCAAGGACACGGAGTCTCTCAGGACACGGAGGGACTTTCCCCAGCCTCCCCCCCCAATACCCTTGCAAGGAGCCCCCTTCCTTCGGCCGAGCTCTTCTGGCTGCCAGCAGCAGTGTCCTCCCCCTTGCTGACCATCTGGACTTGTCCCTCCCCTCGATGCATTGTTATCTCCCTGACTTTGCATCGTGAATCAAACGTCCAGCGTCTGGAAACGGGGTGTTTTGTTGTTTGTTTACACAGTGTGCGCATGCTCCGTTGGGTGCTGTTGCGCATCTGGAGACTTGAGGAAAAAAAAACAAAGCTGTTTGCCAGGGGACACGGGCGGGCGCCGGATGCCACAGGATTCCACCGGGAACACGATCACGCGCCTGCCCTTGCCCCGCAGTTTCCGGAAACTAGTACCTCCGAGGTACTAGTTTTTTGCCGCGCGTCTTTGCTGGGAAGCCTCGGCTGAGCCACGGGAGTGCTACACTTCCCAGATGTGCCGGTGAGATCGCGCCCAGAAAATGCGCCTGACTTCCGTCTCACTAGCGTGGCAACTGTTCCGTGTGACCGCAGCCCTAGTCAGGTTTTCAATGACAAATGATGGGTGATTTTTCCTTTCTCTATTATTGTTGTTCTCCAGCTACTTGTATTGTTGAAAACTGAGCCATCTTAGCTGTTACTTTGCTGCAAGAAGAACATACTTTAAAAGGTATATTTATTTTTCCCTTTAATTTTTTACATGAATGTGACTAGTATTGTTCTTTTTAGGGTTTTTTCTGTTTGCTATGTTTTGTTTTTTTTTGTTTGTTTTTTTAATATAAATTTTATTGAAAGATTTTCTTATATAACAAACAATAAACAAACAGATCAAACAAGCAACTGCTATGTTTTGTTAATGTTTATCTGTTGTGTGATTGAATGATTTTTGAAGTATATTTTGCTTGAGGATTTCTTTGGAAGACAAGTATGAAGTGCTACCTGGTTCTGGATCCTTTTGAAGGGGAAAAAAAGACACCGGAGTCTCCTGGCATGTTTGTAATCATTGTTTTATTTACAAATAGACAAAAATCACAAATCACTGCAGTCTCTGTCTCTTCTAAATTAAACCCAATGTTTCTTTATATACTGACCTGATCTCATCCAAGTTCTCACAGATACTTAGCAAGGCAACCAGGATATCATATCTACCCCACAACCTGTTGAGAAATAACCCATACGTACAGTAATTCATTAAAAATGAAGAGCCTTTTAAGAAGCTGGGGCCTTTGCCAGTGATGAGTAGTTGGCTGTCCACAAAAACCTAGATCTGCTGAGAGCCACCACATACCTCTAGAAAAAGATTCTTTCTGGGACCCACCTCATGTCATCCAGAGGTAACCCAAACACCAGATTATAGAAAATAACATTATTTGCCCTGCTCCATAGAATTTTGTCCCCTAGTCTCCTCCTCTCAGCAGTCCTGTGAACTGCAAGGTATTCTGTAAGGTTAGTGGCGCTGGGTTACCCCAACATTCTTTATCCCAAGCACAAACTGGTAAATCTACCTTGTAATCTGTAAATTGCTGAAGGAACCTCTTGCGGGCATCCCTCCCTTCTCATCATTCCCATTCTCCTTTAGTAGGTTAAGATAAAACTGTCAGCCTGCTTTATAAAGAAATTATCTTCCCACTCCTGTCAGTAAAGATGTACTTGTAAGACTGAACCAGACTGGGACTGAAATCAAAGAAACCCAGCACAAAAATAGCAAATCAATGCATAATCAAATAAAAAAGTCTGCCAGGAGCAGAAAAATTGCTTCTTTCCAAAGGTAGCTCATAACAGCTTTTTCAGAGAATATAGTGGTTTTCCATGACAGATTAAAAATGTAATTGTATAATGTATCAAAGAAATCCAATCCATAAAAGAAAAATAGGACTGCTGTATAATACCGATCCAAGCTTTGTTTTTGTTGAAGCAGCATGAGTGATTCTTTGTAAAGTTATTTCAGGAAAGGTTGGGGGGCAGGAGGAACTGGGCAGAATTAATACTGGCAAGGCTTAACACATACTAAAGAAACCAGAATGGTGTTGGGGTTAAAATAAACCTCTAGTAACCTTATATATGCTAGAAACACTGGCAAGAAATATTGTTCTGTAACGTAATACAGCATGCTTTAATATAGCTAGAAAAGAACTATTAATTACTGGGCTAAGAAAATCAGTTGTAACATTCTGCCTTATAATGGAACAAAATGGCTTATATTACACAATCAGATAACCTGACATACTATCCTCAACCTCATTTACATACTCAAATCTACACTAGAAGAGCCAACAATTCCTGACAAATCAGAAGCTCTTGAGTCCAATGGCACTTTGTGTGTGTAAAGAGTCATCAAGTTGCAGCAGACTTATGGCGACCCTAACTAGGGGTTTTCGAGGCAAGTGAGAAGCAGAGGTGGTTTGCCATTGCCTCCTCTGCAGAGACTTCCTTGGGAGGCTCCCTTCCAAGTACCAACCCTGGCCCCGGCCACATGTGCCGGAAAACGCATGGGGGGATGGCTATTTGCGCCGTCGCATTCTGATCCACCATTATGCAATCAGACGCGATGGCAGCGCACCGGGGTTTTGTCCTTCGGTGTGAGCTGCAAAGAGGACAAGAGGACGGCTGGAGGGAATAGGCATGCGCCGGTGCGATGACACCGAACGAGTCCATCTGCAGCCTGTGGCAAACCATTTGCAAGTAGATCTTTGCAGGTACTTTTTAACTGCACATCTTTAGCGGCACACCACGGGTTGGCCATGGTGCACTACGTTTCCCAGATGTTGCAGTGTGATCACGCCCCAAAACTCCACCCAGACTTTGTGCCTTTTGTGTGGCAAATTCTCCGTGTGACCGGGGCCCCTGCTTAGTTTCTGAAATGTAAAGAGATCAGACTGTACTATGCTACCTTCCCTCCCAATGGCACTTTAGAGACTAACAAAATTTATTTCAGCTTAAGGTTTTGTGACTCAGAGCTCATTTCATCAGATGCACCTGATACCAGTGAGTTGTGAATCATGAACGTTTATGCTGGAATAAATTTTGTTTGTCTCTGAAGTACCATTGGATTCCTTTTTAAAAATTGTGCTTCTACAGACTAACATGGATACCCATTAGGAATGAACCTGTGATAAATCATCATGTAAATAACAATAGGGTTATCATTGCTTGTTCCATGTAAAACAGAATGACTTGTGAATTGGATAAAAGAGTATCTCAGCTGTCTTTGATTTTTTTTATTGGACAGATGGAGATTCTGATCTCAAGATAAGTAAACTTATACATTAACCATATACAGACATTAAGATGAAATATTAAAACATTAAGCTTCCATATTAGTGGTGTATACATGGAAGTGAAGTGAAACACAACAAAACTGAAATAATACGACAGCAATATCATCAAGAGTTAGATGACTGAAAGTGTAAGTGATAAACTTGACATTTAAAGTATATATTGACATACAACTGTTGAACTGTGGTGGACAATTCAGTTTTATATGTGCTATGTTCCCAAACTGCTATCAGATCAGCCATATGAAACAAAACAAATAAAAACTTTGCGGTGATATTAGAAAGGTAGCAGACTGTGAGGAACTCACAGCTCACCTTAAGAACATGCAATTTAGAACAGTTATGTATTCTCCTATCTGCCTGAAATGTGGCAGGATCAGTTTTTTTGGAGTGAAGTGTGCTCTCTGAAAACTGCCTCCATATTTGATGGAAAATAAATGTCCAACCAGAAATGTATTTCCCCTTGAAAGCAATGGGAAACAAAACAAACAATAAAAATGCAAACAAAAAAGAAAAGGAGAAATAATGACCACCCATATTGAACTGGCCAAATTTCCCAGCTGTACCTCCTTTTGATTTCTCAAGTGCCTCCTTTTTAAGACAGCATCAGAGCACAGTAAATAGTAGTATGCCATCAAGTGGATGCTCTTGAAACATTTTTCCCCCCTCAGGTCAAGTGTATTCTGGTCTGCAGCTGATATAATAGGTCTTATCGTATTCTTTGGAGAGCATCTGAAA